TTTATAGGTACCTTTCTTAAGAAATTTTATCAGAAGTAAATATGTAAAATATTTGCCAGCCAAATATGCATCCACCTTTGCAGGAGAAACTGTTGTTAGATCCAATGTGCTTTAGACTGACTCAGCCACAAAGGGAGTCGCCAATCAAGCAAAGCCAAATAGTGCTTTTAAGTACAATCCTTCTTGTCCCAGACTCACGTAAGTTCATATCTGCCCAGTTTTGTATCCAAACATAAACAAAGCAATTTCAAAAGAAGTAATGGATTTTTTTTTTAATTATTTATTAATCCAACAGATTTTTATCACTTCAAATGTTATTTTTAGTGGATACTCATATTTGAGTAGATGCTCCGTTTAGTTTAAAGAGATCATCTACACCTAAAATTGGGTCTTATTAAAAAGAATAGACATTTAATGTTCATTAGCTTTATTGATCGCTTCTTTTTTTTTTTCTAGTATGCAAGTAAAGTTTCACAAATGTGTATAAAATTTCATCGTGCCCAAACTTTCGACTCACATGAGTCATCATCAGAGGTATGAAAAAGAAAAGAGATGAGGTATTATGTACACTATTTACCTTATTCGGACTATTGTCCTCTTCTTTGTCGCCATATTTATTACAACGTTTCGGCTATTGTACGCTCCGGCCTTCTTCAGTTGGTTGAAATGTCGAACTGAACCCTTTATTTCACTCATAGTGGTAAACTGTTCTAGTTCTTCAAGGACACATGGCACAGTGTATAAAGGTGTTAGTTAGATACAGTGACAGGACCCAAAGAGTACGAGTTCAATACCTGGTTAAGGCAGTGGACAACTTGGAGAGGGGAATTAACAGGAGATAACTGATAACTGACATCCATTAAACATGGCACATGGAACTAGAACAGTCTACCCCAGTGAGCAAAATAAAGGGTTCAGTTCGACATTTCAACCACCTGAAGAAGGCCCGAGTGTACAACGGCCAAAACGTTGTAATAAATATGGCAACAAAGATGAGGACAATAGTCTGAATAATGTAAATACTGTTTTAAGCAGCACATATTTTAAGAGCATTGTTACTTTTCATTGGAAAGAAAAATTAAATGTGGCAGAATTTGGGACACAATGAATTTAGGATATTTTATATATCGGCAACATTTCCAAAACATTATTGATAAATTTAATAAACATAAAATGTCTATTCTTTTTAAGAAGAAATGTTCAGAACAATTGAAGCTAAAATTATCATGGAAGCATGTCAATAAATTAAAAATTAAAAAAAAAAAAAAAAAAAAAAAAAAAAAAAAAAATCAAGAATATTCATTATTTTAAGCAGGACTATGCTTAAAAAGATGTTCTTTTTATTTTGTTTTTATGAATAAATTGTTGGATGAAAAAATTATTTTGGTAAATTAATAATTTCCCTTTAGTTTGTCAACCAAACACATCAATAAAAAAATAAAATAAAAATAAAAATCAATCCACAAACCAATTTATTAATAAATGGCCTTGATAACAAAAGTTAAAATGAAATTTTTAAAAATTAACATATCAACACTACAAGGGCACTTTTAGGCAATTTAAAAATTATATTAGGGATATACAAAATATTTTAAGTTGTTTTAATAAAAAAAAAAAAATTTATATATATATATATATATATAAAAACTGTCAGGGCTCCAGATTAACTTTGTTTTTTTTTTTTGTTACTATCATCCTGGAACTGTTTGAAAATACAATTTTAATTGTCTCCGCCCCCCCCCCAACTCCACACCAAATTTAAAACCCATTACAAAATCAAGATGTTTTTTTGTTTTTTTCTTATTTATGGTTGTCAGTAACATAATAAAACACTGTTAATATCTTGACTGCCAGAGGTCAATTACAAAATCTGAATTTAGAATACCAACTTTATAACAGCCAACAACTTCGGTAAAAAAAAAAAAAAAAAAAAATCTTTATGCGTTGATTTATAGTTTCAACTGAAATCTTTACATTAGTGTCACACTAAAAGTATCACTATGAATAAACTTGTTCGTATGAGAGATAACTCACAGCCAGTGCCATAATAAAAACTGCCGACCATGAGTGAGCTGCCAAGGTGTTAAAATCCTGAAAAATACATTAAAAAAAGTTCAACTGTTCCAGTATTAAAATTAAATACATACAAAAAAAAGTTAAATTTTACACTCGTTTTTATAAAAATCAAAACATTTTTATTTATACATTTTAGTTAAATCTTGAATAATTTTACATGGAAATGTTAATTTTCATGTTCCAAGTAACTTTTATTATACTTTAAGAATTGTGCAATACAGACATTTCCTATATAAAGAATATTAGTCTATTCACAAACAAAATGTTTTTAAAGACGTCATCAAAAAAATTTCATTTACAATTACTTTCCTTGCATCGTGAGTAAATTTTCTATAGTAATTATTTTAACATTCTTTGTTGTTGATTGATTGATTGATTATGTGGCTTAACAACCCTTTGCAAGTTATTTAAAGCAAGAAAAATATTTTTAGATTAGGAATTTTATTTTTTTGCGGAGATAATGATTTACTGACACAAGTCCTATTAATTAATGGCTGGAAGAAGAAAAGGTGGATTCATAGCTTTCCCCAAGGGTATTTGCATGTAAGTGAATATAACAAACCCAACCAGAATTGGAACTCAGCACTTTGGTTAGCAATGCCAAGCCATTATCCATCACACCGCCAACACACCCAAGCTTGGAGCACCTGGTATTCTCAAGCGGTCACCCATCTCGGCTCAACTTAACTTTGGTCATTGTATGGGAAATGGTGTTTTAACATATGGACTTAATCTGGCAAATTCTTCCTTCATATTTTACATTTAGTCAATGGTAAGCAGAAAACAAGATATAAATGTTGGTTGGTCATTTTTTTTTTTTTTTTAATTCACGTTATTTTTTTTCTCTTTTTACCAAAAATTAATAGAAAAAAAATATAAATATGTGGTTTTGTTTATTAAGGCAGAATTAGTTCTTACAATTAGAACTTAGTTTTTCCCATATCTAGAAACAAATAATGTAAATATTTAAACCTTTTAAATATTTATAAATATTTAAACGGCCATTTATTTTTTTTTATTCACCTGTTTAAAAAGAAATGCTTCAGCTGTTTCTTTTTTTGTTTGTGTATGTCCCATTAATTAATAACCTGCCAATACTGCCAAAAAAATTATTTTCTTTTTTATTTAATAAATTAGTAACTTTTGTAATAGAAAAAAAAAAACAGAAATTTAATGAAAAGTTTTATATAACATAGCCCTGCTTGTAGAGCAAAGGTTACTGGACAATGTTAATCTTGAGCCCTTTTATTTATATATATATATATATATATATATATATATATATATATATATATATATTACTCCATTTCCTAATTTCAAACATTCATATCATTATTAATAATTTCTGACTTGTCTTATTCTTTATACTGATTTACACCAAGAAGTTCAAGTTATAAATTTACTGAAGTTTTTCTTTTTTTTGATGAAGCATTGTCGTCATTTTTTTTTTTTTCTAAACCTTATTTGTTGCTTTTTATCACAACTCCCAGACAGATATTTAGTAAAACACTGGTAAGATTTGAACTCCAGCTAGCAAAGATATATGACTTATTTGAGCAATGTCTACCAGTTTCTGTAGTAAAATTGGTAATAGCACTACCATGGTAAGACAGGCTCACCAGCTAAGAGATGCAAGTTCAAATCTCACCAGGAATTTGTTCTTTATTTACAATCTATACTGCTTCTTAGATGCCAAATAGATATCCTCTCCACCGCCAGGGTGACACTTATTTTGCTGGAGTTGCATAATAGCCACTGCAACCAGAAATAATCAATTTTTTTTCATATTACTATAGATTAAATACTCCTGATCACAAATAGCAAAATAAAAAAATAAAAAAAAAATACTTTATTGAATTTTATAAAAATTAATAAGGTCAAGTGTGCTATGAAAATTCATTATAGATTGATCTCCCTACAGAAACCAAAACAAAATATACAAAGACAAGTGATTTCTTAAGATTAAAAAAAAAATAATCTTTTTACAAATTCATAATCTGGATTGCTTAATCAATAATAATGAAAAAAGGACTCTAGATTAGGAATTTCTAATTGTTTTTTTTTTTCTGCTTTTGTACATTTTAAGAAATCATGTTATATAAACATATCTGTTTTGGCCTTCATAAAGGCATTAATTTACATAGCAAACTGGGTCAATTTGCAAAGAATTTGCATGGCAAATTGAGTTAGTTTGTAAATAATTTGCATGGCAAACTGAATTAATTTGCAATTTACAGGTTTTTATTATGTGAACCATTATATATCAGTACACATTCTATTTGCCAAATAAGCTGAGTTATAAATCTGAAAACAAGGATGAATGTTTGGATAATACACATGAAAATACCCTGGACAGGGAAAGGGCTGAATCCTAAATTTTTGAAAGTTTTTAAAATTTTCTGCTTATTGCATATTCAGAGAAAAATCAGACCCCCACCTGACTAAGATCCCTCTCCCCTTGTATTAGACACCAAAAGTACTTGACATTTGTAGAAAAATGATAGGAAAAAATTAAAAAAATAATGACAATGCTTTATTAGATAAATTTTAATAAGTTCTGACTATTATTATCTGCTAAGACTAGATGTAACCAAAAATAAGATGATGGAAACACTTGTCAAAAATTTAATAATAATAATAATAATAATAATAATAATAATAATATTAAAACATCTCAGAAATCGATAGACTATAACATTTTTAACACTTTATAAAATATACTTCGGTTTTCTTTTTTTCATTTAAAGCACATAATAATTACATCTCGATTCAATGTGAAATCTGTTGTCCATTATATAACAGATTATACACTGGCAGAACAAAAAAAAAAAATCCACAAACCAATTTATTAATATATGCTCTTAATAACAAAACAAAAATTAAGTTAAAAAATAGAGTTATCAAGAATATATTGATACTTTCACTTGTGGCCAATCTGTGAATTTGGGATAATAATCTCATGAGACACATTTGCATGGAGAGGCACATTCATCTGGGTGGTGGCCGGGTACATTTGAATAGTAGGGAAAATTTGTGCCATTGATGGCGAGATTTCAATTGTAGTTGGGAAAGTGGACATTACAGGATACATCTGTGCTGCCCCTGCAGTTGTTATGGTCCCATCAATGTGTGCACCCTCGGCAACCTGGGTCTGGTACATTGCCACTGTTTTCACCTCCTCGCCCGCCTCAGTATGGGCAACAACCATTGTCCCATCAGCCACGGCACCGGCATCTGTGGTAACGACAACAGCCACAGTTTCCCCTACTTCAGCATCTTCATCTGCTTTAAGGATCATGGAGTGTTTTGGAGGCACGCAACTCAGTTTTAGTTGACCTTCATTGGCCCTCTTATGCTTCAGTAAGTGGTCTTTGCGAGAGAATGCAAAGCCACATCGATCACAAACAAATGGCTTCTCTCCTGTATGAATCCTGCGGTGGACACTCAGATACGACCGTCGGGAGAAACTCTTTTGGCAAATGTCGCAGCTGAAGAGTTTCTCGTTGCTATGGGTTAACTTATGGCGTTCAAGGTTGTCCTTTCTTGAAAAAGACTTGGAGCAGAAATCACACTTGTAGTCCACTGAATTTGTGGTTGATGTTGAGGTTTTGGTCATCACTGGAAGAGCTGTCGTTGCCGGGATGCTAGCCACGAACTTGGCAGTACCAGCAGCAGTTGCCTGATAGACATGTTTCTGCATTTGTCCATCTTCAGAACATGTTGTAATGACAGGTAGTGTTGAATTCTGATGAACAATCATCTCACAGGGCTGAAATACAGTCTTGTTGCCATTGGTTACTAAAGCAACAAGTGATTCCCCGTAACCTCGATTAGGATTCTGGATAACACTACAAGTTCCATCCGAACACTTAAATGCTTGCTGGACCTCCGCTTCTTCAACATCCGAGGTTGTCTGGACAGTAACCACTTGAATCTGTCCTTGCTCTGTCTGCACTTGTTGCAAGGATGTGGGGTGCTGTTCCGTGTACAAGGTGCCCTGTGGGTGGTTAATGATATTGCTAGTAGTAGGAGTCAGGGTGGTTGTAGTAGCGTTGTTACTAACAAGGCTAATATTATTAACCCTCTGAGTGGGTGCCTTCACTTCACCATGCTGTTTTGCTCGGTGCCGAACCAAGTGGTCACCACGGTAGAAGGCACAGCCACAGATGTGACACCTGTACGGTCGAGTATTGCTATGTATACGCTGGTGCACAGTCAGGTAAGAACGACGAGCGAAGGACTTGTTGCATACATTGCAATTAAACATTTTGATTCCCTGGTGTCCACGGATGTGAATGACCAAATGATCATTTCGAGAAAAGGCACGTCCACACACATTGCATCCAAATGGCCTCTCACCTGTATGCAGGCGTCGGTGCAACTTCAGGTAAGACTTCTGACTGAAATCACGGCCGCATGTCTCACATCTGTACACCTCTCGATGTAGATGACGTGTCCGATGCCTCTCCATGTTGTCGCGCCGGGAGAAGACTTTGCCACAGATGTCGCATGTTGGTTTCTTCATCTTGAAAGGCTGAGATTTTGTCTTTGGGCTGAGAGTGCAAGTCTGAGGAGGTTAGCAGTATTGAAAGACAAGTCGAAAGCTCTTCTGGACTTCCAGAGAATTAACAAAGATCAATTACAAATCATTAATCAAAAGGCCGAGTTGAATTAATTTGCCACTTGAAAAAGAGAGGGTTAGTATAATATTGTCCAGGAAGGAAATATACATATATTTTAATACTATATTTTTGATGGCTTGATTGTACCGATAATAATAATAATTATTATTATATACAAAAATCACAGCAAGTTTCAAAATATTTTAACATTTACCACACTACATCATTTATAAATATTACTTCCTGGATATGGAATCCCATAAAAATATAGTGTTTTATATATTAGTTCTATATATTTGAAATTGCAGTAGCCTGGGCCTCACTTTCAGCCAAGATTATTTTAAGTGTTGCCATAGAAGGATATGGCTACACAAACAAGAAGTTCAAATTTAACATTGGCAGGACTAACATTTTACTTGGCAAAAATAGTCACCTACAGAGTGCTAAAAGTTAAATACACGTTTATATAAGCATATATAGATCTTTGTAAAAATAGAACAGAAATATAAGTTATATTTTTACTAACTCAAACAACAGCTGATATCCAATTTTTGAACGTGGTTTAAAGTTTCTTTTGTTTTAGAGGTGTGTCATGCTTTTTAAATTGTTTTATATACAAGATTAATTGTTACTAATATACAATAATAGCAGAAGCTCGATAAGGTCATCCATTTAGTTGTATATCCTTTTCGGTAGACATCATCCTCGTCAAAGACACTGGTTGGCTAAGACAGAATTCAAAGATTTATAAAAAAAAAATTTTTTTTTTTTTGAATGGTGCATTTATTTATTTCTTATTTCATGCTTTGAGAGCCTTGGATTATATGGAGTCTGTTGCAAACTGAAGTTTTAGGAAGTGTTTTTGGTATGTTTTATATCACAAAGAACCAATCGTAACAAACGGTTTCTGAAGAGGTCTACCTAGAGAGAGAGAAACAAAAAAAGAAAACATGAGCCAATTAATAGTAATAACTTTATAATAAACACAAAAAATATTCATAGAGATTTTTTTTACACAATTGCACTCATTCGTGTGTGTGTGTGTGTGTGTGTGTGCGCGCGTGTTGTTCCCACTAAATATTGGCAAATCCATTCGTCTTGCCTACCATCTACCAGGCCCATTTAGGAAAAGCAGTAGCGATTTATTGTCTGCTTACTTTTCTTTTTTTCGTTTTACATGAAAACAAAAAGGACTCTTAGACTTAACATCAAGATAACTCAGTTAAAATTTCTAGGGCACATAATGAGGAAAGAGGGCTTAGAAAATTTGACATTCACAGGACATATTGAAGGCAAGAAGAACAGGGGAAAACAACACCTAACCTACCTATTTTCAAGTGGTCACCTACCTAGGTACTAACCATGCTAGACATTGCTTAACTTTGGTGATCCAACAAGAATCAGTGTATCAACGATGTAGCTGTAAGCCTTAACTTTGTGTGAAATTTGAAAAACTGTTATCAAGTGGCAACAATAATCAATACAGATTTATTGATTAATTTAAATATACTTGCCGCATTTGGTAGAAAATGGTAGAATTGTATTAACACCAGAAAGAGATAGTTGAAATTTCAAGGGCACATAATGAGGAAAGAGGGCTTGGAAAATTTGACACTCTCAGGACATACTGAAGGTAAGAAGGACAGAGGAAAACAATGCCTAACCTACCTAGCGAGTTTGAGTGAAGGATGGAGGAACAAGGTTTTGGGGAGATAACAAAAAGAAAAAAAAACATTTTATAGCTACAAAGGACAGGAAATTGTGGAGAGCCATGATAGCCAAAATGGAACATTGAAGAAAAAGAAACAGCAATAACAAAATTAATATCTTTCAAATTTGATTGTTGATTTACTGACCAAGTTCTCAATAGAAATTCTCTATAGAGTTACTCTAGCATTTCATTCAATAAAGTCTCATTGTTCTCGCTTGTACATCTATGACACTATAACAGCAATAAATTAATCAATATTCTAAGCATTTTCTTTGATAGTTGACACATTTTTAACATTTTTCTGGGCTTGCAGTTTAGGATATTTAATTCCATTGTTTCATGTAAAACGTTATTTAAATCACTACTGCTTTTCCTAAACAGTAATCCAGCCAGCCATTCTGTAGACTTCTTCAAGAGTACTAGGTATATGAAAAGAAAGGTTGTCTTCTTTTTTTTTGGGGGTCAGTGCACTCTTTTCGTATGAGAAAATTAACATTAATATCATTTGTTGCCTATTTTCATATGATTTTATGTTATCTTAAAATTAATTCATGAAACTTTTTTTTTTTTAAATAATTATTGTCATTGTGTCAATTTTTCATATAAAAATGTATTTGTATAATAAAAATGTAAACAAAACCAAAAATAAGGTTGTTTATTTTCCACCAAATTGGTCAAGATTTATCTGCAAATAACACAAATTCTGTTGATTTTATAATCATAGTTTTTATGTGATTATTAATCAGCATTCAAAGAGCTTTCTAAAGATATAAATCTTAACCTTATTGGAGGATATGTAAATGTTAGCATATGGTGGCAAATACCAAAATCTGCCATTTTGAATTTGGCCCAACTCATTAAAACCTTTGCAACTCAGGCCAGTCCACCACAAATTTTGTACATACCTTGCCATAAGGCAGACAAATTTGTGGACAATTTTAAAAAAAAATTAAAGATACATTATTTCAGAAATCAAAGGTTACGGTGAAATTATCTTATTTGACCTTTAAACAAAAAAACAAATAGATCACTTTTTAGATCTATCCAAGTACTTTAAAATGGTATATAATTTAGCTTTTTAGGTGAAAAAAAATAATATTTAAACTTTGTGACTATTTTTCAAAATTCACCGTTTTGGCTAAGGTCAAAGAGTCATATCTTGGAAACCCTTTGACCTAGAGATGTAAAATAGGTACCATTCAATTCATCTCACGATGCTCTCTAAGTGTACCAAATTTGAAAAAATCTGTTGGTGATGGTCAGAGCCTCATTGATTTGACATGAATGTCTTGCATGTGAGTAACAAGAAAGTTTTTCAATAAAGTGGAAGTGAAAAGGACACTTATACTAAGAATCAGAAAGAGGCAATTCAAATGTCAAGGGCATATAACAAGGAAAGAGGGCTTGAAGAATTTGATACTCACAGGACATACTGAGGGCAAGAGTGTAGAGAAAAGGAGTGAGTAACCTACCAAATGGGCTTTCATAAATGGTCAATAGAACAGGGATTGGAAGGGATGGTGAAAATAAAATAAACCAACCTTACTAAGGTCTACAAAGGATGGGAAGTTGTGGAGAACCATTATCATGAAGGGAAAGGGCACATAGAGGTAGTATACATGAAGAATGGTGTGAAATATATTGGCTAAAAAATTGTGAGGAACAAGAAAAAAGGTAAAACCATCCAAAATATCTTTTTGAAGAACTCAAAGTTATTGTCAAAACAACAATCATCATTTTGCTTAATTTTTGTACCACTTTTTAATTAAATGGTTTTTGAATGTTTTTTTATTACTCTGAGTAATATGTCATCAAGCCATAAGAACAAATACAGTAATAATTTAATATTAGTAATAGCAATAACTAGATGACCCATAAATGTGTTGGGTTGCTCTTAAAAGCAGTTCATTATACAAAATGTTGAGGTAAAATTATTATGAATTTTATTACTAATTACACATTTTAATTTGTATTTAAAGATAGAAAAAGAAGGTTTATTGATCCACTGGGCTTCACTGTTAACATATTGCACGAAAATTTGGAGTAATAGCACAAAACAGGTTTAGTCGTTTTCAAAATAATAAGTATATTTTTATTATGCATACTAGTTTCTTCCTTGTATTTATTTAAAAATACATAATGGCAAATCAGCATGCATCTATTTATTTATCATCAAATCATGTGACACATATAGCCTCTTCACCTTTCAAGCAGTTGTTTATAAAAAAAAAAAAAAAAAAGGTTCTCATGTAGTGTGGTGAATTGTATAAATATATATGTATATTTAAATTTATTTAATAATATTGTTCTAATGCATTACGAATGTTTATTATTTTTCACACAAATGATAGTTGGAATCTAATATGAAAGTGTTTGTTTATATACGTGGATTGATATAAGAACGTGTATCAAAAACAAATACTGAATTTCCGATTTAAAAAGCCGTAAAAACAAGCCCCATCTGAAGAACCCCTTCATCTAATTTTAATGAAATTTGGCACTGCACTCAGCAGGAGTTCAAAGTAGATTATCCTCCTAAATTGGTTGGGGTATTATTTATTGTTTTAAGCTGTATCTAAGGAAACCCATACATACATACAAGATTATAGTTTTAGAATTATATAGTATTTTGTAAGTGCATTTTATTTATAAAATATCGAAAACTTTGTTCTTTTTTTTTTCTGAAACTTAAACTAAACAAATAATATTCTATTCACCTTGGAATAATGATAAACTTTCTGTATCACCAGAAAAGTTCCCTATGTAGAGATAGACACTTTTAATTATGTAGAAAAGTGTTAGATGCATACACAATTACATTGTCATCTATAGTATCTTTCAGTTATATTCATTTACATCACAATTCTCATCCCCCATATATATATATATGAAATAACATCACATCTGTAAGTGGTAAGGATAATCTTATATAAAGTATTAAAAAGATAGATCCATGAAGAGAGCTCAATCTATTTATATACAGACCAATATGATATACATCAAAGGAAAACACACACACACACACACACACAGTAGTTGGGTAGCATTTTTTATTTATTTATACAAGTTTGTTTAAAGAGCAATGTAAGTTAAAAATAGTTTTGTTTATTTTCTTTCCATATTTTCAATTATAAAAACTCACTGACAATGTCTTAGTTCTCAGACATTGGATTATTTTTTACATTTTCACCA